GCTGGCCGCCTTCACTGCCTTCCCCAGGGCAAATCTCACTTTATGTCCAGAATAAGGCTGACACTCGTGCTCCAAGATCTGAAACTTCGCAGCCAGAGAGTTTTCACCTTTCTGTAGAGCTTCAATGAAATCCTTCATCAGAGCGGAAGTGGTGCAAAAATTAGCTGCACCATAAAGAATGAAGAATTAAAAAATATTTTCAATATGCAGATGCCTTGCCAAAAGCGCAGTAAAGAGCCCACCATGAATACATTACAGAAATAAAAAATGTTTGCTGATTTCTAAATTTCCTGGAGTTTACTTAATGTCAGCAGTCCCATTTAATAGCAGAAATGTAAAACCCTGTGGCAGCTATTGAACCCCCGACCCCTGATAGGCAGTTACCAGCTTCGCCGGGACTGGTTTTGAAATCATTCAGTCCGTTAGCCTGCATCTTGTTACAGTCAGTGCAACTGATGCAATACTATGAATCTCTTTTTCCCTGTACATTTTTAACTCTCTCGTGCCAGCAATTATTTTACTCTTACAAGAATATAAACCAGGGCTGCTCTGTTTCTCGGGGAACATCGGGGGAACGAGGTTGCATCTAGTTTTTGTTTGAACTAGTAAATATTTAGGAGAACAAGAAGATAGTTTTTTATCTGAAACATGTTTTCACAGCCTTGAAACAGTGAGGCAGCAAGAAAGGGACTGAAAAAGTCTGCCATTTCATTTCCTCCCTGTATTTTAGACTGCTTTTGACCCAGCCTGTGTGTGCATGCACACTCACTCGCTTGGTCTGCTCCTTTACACCGTGACTTCATTGTAAAATTCAATTCATCTGTTCGAAGCAATGACTGAAACACTGTCTATAAAATTATGGCATTTTTCCACTTAAAAAAATAATTTAACACGTCTTCATTTAAAAGTTATTTTTAAACCTAGTTGGCCTGAAGCCAGTTTTAGTCATAACTGAAGTGGATTCTTCTTTTCCTAGAATTCAATGCCTTCCTTTTCTTAAATATATTAGTTTAAAAAAAAAAAAAGAAAAAAAAAGTAAAACCAGTAAATGCACACTTCTGCCCACACCGTTTTACCCTCTGACATATCAGCACAGTTTGCTTTTCAACTTACTGCTATGCAACAAACCCAAACGAGTCTTTACTTTTTCTAATTTAGGAACTTAGCTTGAACATGGACTTTAACAATCCCAGAGCAGAACCACTTACTTTCAGTTTGAATCTGGCTGGGGCACTCGTAGAGCATCACCACAGCTAGTAACTGGCTGAGTCAGAGTTTATGTCTGGGAGGTAATTGAAGACCCTTCAGAAACATGGCTGAATTTGAAAAAGAAAGCATCAGAGCCTTATTACAATGCAAAGATACATATGGCTTCTGGCACTATATCTGCATTTGCATGTCAATAGCCAATCATGAAATAGATGAACTAAGAAAGCTGTTGTCATATACGTAGGTAGAACGAGTATCCTGACTTCAATAAGTTCCCATTTTCCAGGACTGTCTCAGAAGACAATAGGACATCTGGTCTTCTTAATGAAGTAGCTGATCTGGAATCTCAGTTTAGTAAAACTACACTCCCCCCCCCCCCCAAAAAAAAAAAAAAGAAAGAAAAAAAGATAAACTTGAAACTAAGCAATTAATATGTCACCAAGAGGTATTTTAAAGGAATAACATGCAAGCTGACCTGGCAGGGAGAGTATGTTCCTTCTCCTTTCGAAGGGAATTCTGTTTTTCCCGAGAGAAAATTCAAAGTAAATTACACTAACTGACTTTACATTCAGTGAATGTTCACATGCGCAGTATTATCTGCACTATGACAACTCCACTAACTGCGATGCGAATATAGGATTGATATATTTCAGTTCTACGTATTTTGTAAAGGGTATCAGCAAGCACAGTAATGCAAAATAATTAGAAGATAAGAACTCTGTAGTCACTTTATCCACAAAAATTTAATCAGATTTTTATTTTCAAAGTTGAATTTTCTCAAGCCTGAGCTCAGCATTAAAGTGTTTGATCCTTCAAATTAAGCAGAAATGATTGGCTAACTCAGGGCTTAAGGATGACAAAGGAAAGGTGAATTTTTTATATTAGTAAGTGCCACTTTGGAGTTTTGGGGTTTTTTTCTTTGTTGCTGTTTTACTGCTTGAGTACCTAGAGATTTGGAATCAAAATTTCATAAGGACACAGTATCTATCTAATCTTTTAACCTAACAATGTTCGAAGCATACTGAAGATGGGCTTCATGAGAATGTTACAGGTTTTGCTGTTGTTTTCAAACAGCAGGCTCTAGAGGGCTATTTTGGGGGGATTTTTTTTTTGTTTTTTTAAATGAGGGTGCTGAAGATGCACAGGGGAGGAAGCAAATTCAGTGGTGGATTACAACACTCAGAAGCAATCAGCTCCTCTGTCTTCAGTACCTGGACTGAAGCTACAATGCTCTGCGCAATTCTGCACAATGCTCCACTCTTCCTCTGGAGTTCAGTTTTAATATTAGTAAGATGTGGCTTGCCAACATGTGCTTGCTGAATGAGGTAGGTCTCCATTACCTCATTCTACACGACCCTTTTACAGATTTTATCTAACAAAGCTTTTGAAGATATATTTATCTTTAACCACGTGAGAAATCTCACTTACATTGATGATTGTGCAATAATAAAAAGTAAAAATAAAAATGATTAGTAGCCCGCTGACGATTATAAACCCTCTTCACTTCACTTCCCCCCCTTTTTCTTAGGAACTCATTACTCCGATGTTTATTTTTACTTTTGTAAATGTAAGAGTGCAAAGCTAAATGCAGAGGTATAAAAGCAGCCACAATCTGAATGGGTGGGTGGGTATGGGATCTTTACATATGTACATACGACATGATCCACAGTATGAATGCCACACTGGGCAGCACTAGTAGGAGGGTTACAGCTCTGCTAGCTACCCAGTAAATCTGTATCAGGATAGTAAGGAAGGATTATGCAGCTTTGCAGCATAAAGCTGCATAAGAAGCTTTGAGAAACCATCATCATCCTCAATCTGCCGTTCTTCACTTCCCCGACCCCTTCTCAGAAACTTTCGTCACCTCGCAGGTTTACCCATTTCATTTTCCATGCCACTAGGTGCAGAAATCTCAAGATGTTTGTGGGGCTTGAGCCCCTGCAGGCAGCTGCAAATTATTTCTATCTAATTGGGATAATGTAACCTCCAGAATCCAGCATGAATGACCTGTGTGAAAGAGAAGGGGGGGACACAGATGAGGATACAAGAATCCTTACAAGGAACAGGGTCCAAGAGAAAGATCAGGATGGTTTTCTGGATTCTTGCAGTTTTCTTTTGGAGTTACCTTCTGGCTGACAGCCCAGGCCAGCAGGAAAACGTTTCTGAACCTACAGCAAGAATTGCCCTTTACTCAGTGTGAAAGGAGAGCTAACAGCTCCACCAATCCTCACATCTCACAGGTTTCTCCTATACTTGCTTATGGGTATCCTGCCTTATGCTAGCAACTAACTATATGTCAGATTCTACTGGTCCTGACCTCCCTGGGGTGCCCCATAGCTCAGGTCTCTGGAGAACAAAGCTGGTCTATGCAATTCCTGACCTCCAGACTCTGTTTCTGCCAGCCCCAAGAGCTCTTTGGTGCCCCATCTATCATCATTTCCTTTGACAGAGCATCTACAGTCTAACATCTCTCCTCTGGAGATCAGATCAGCATCCACTGCAGCAGCAAAGCCTTAAGTCAGCATATCGTAAAGAATCATTATAAACATTACCTTGACATTTTAGTGTACACAGTTAACATTTACATTTCACACCACCTCCTATGTAAAGTCCCTCTCTCCATGCCGTCAATACACCACTTCTCTTAACCCCTCTGCACCCAACACTAAGAGCCCCTTTTCTCAGGCAGGCCAACAAAACAGATTTTTGGTGCTTCTGAGCCCAGCTACTACGGAGACAGAAGTCATCAAAAACTGGTTAAAAACACAAAAATTAAAAGCAGACAAAATTCCCCAACCTTCAGAACATTTAAAACCCACCTGGGTCTTTCCCAAATACCCCAGAAATGCTTCAAGCTCACAATGAGATGCTACAGGCAATATTTCAGGGGCTACTTTCAACATTTGCTATGAAGCATCTTTTGATGCTCCAGATACATCTTCCTAAGGGTTAATATACCAAAACAGGAAGGGGGAAAAAAAAGCAAAGCACAAAAGCTGTATAACTTCTTTCCGTGGTATGACAAACTCTCTCTGCATCATATTCCAAAGTGTAAGATGTGCAATTTCCATTCTTAAGCTCAGTAAAAATGGCATAAAAAAGTGCTAACCCTGGGAACTGCTTGATTATTAGTTTATCAGACCAACATCAGCAAAACTGTCTTTTTACATGCTGCTTACTTTCAAAAAAACCTACCATGCATATTTCAGTTCTCCCTCTCCACACCCCACACCCTTCTGCTGCTGTCCAGCTGGAACACATCAAGGGTCTAGAAGCCAAGTCAAATGTTGACCCCACCCTCCTCCATCCATTTTAAGGCACCTTCAAAGCCAGTACACTGATCTAGTTCAGCTTAGCCAACAACGCCAGCAAATCTGTTATTTAAGACTTTAGTGCTGGGTTTTTATAACTGCCCATTAATACAAGCTTTGATGTATGGTCAAAAAAGCCAGCTGTAATGAGTTTCATCAGACTGTAGTAACCTTTCCTCAAAAGGTCTTTATTACTATACCTTTATAATCTTTGGTCCCAATATTGTTTTATAGTATCATTCTTACTGAACCGCCTTAAAAAATAACACTCAGCAACACTTAACACATCTCCTTCCCCAAAATTAAAACAGAGCCATTAATAGTTTTCTAGAAGACACTTTTGCACCCACATTTTTAATAGGAGTTCGCTGTTAAGAACATGCAGGCAATAGTTGTGTGAACCAAAAGAGAAACCGATTTTCCTGACAAAACCCTTCAGACAGGATACGAAAGGATTTTGTAAAAGGACAAACAACTTACTCTGTTGTTCCCCTTTGCAGGATGCAGCAAGGAGGAAAGAGGGAAGAAAAAGAAATATTAGATACATTTATTTTACATGCATTCAGTCTAACTTGTACAGTTCTGGAAACAGCTCAAACCAAATGAGGAACTGACTCAAAGAACATTCACTGAATCCTTTAGTTAGACAGCTTCCAGGGGAGCACAGGACATTCGCAAAGGATTTAATATGTTCGGCAAAGTTGTAAATTCATACTGTTTTTCAAAATTTCCTCTCTACACAAACATTCTGATTCCACTTCTGCTTCCTTCAGTGTAAATCAGGAGCAGCTCCTGGGAAGTCAGTGGACACTAACACAAGGGAGAAAATGAGGCCTGAAATGATCTAGGGATGGGACAGAAGCCAGAGGGATTTTCATGTGTTGGTAATACTGAACTTCCAATACGCAAAGCAACCCACTAAACATGTCTGCTCACTTTTGCATGACAGCCACTCCCTACGACATGCCAATGAATGGAAAGTTTCACGATCCAATGCTTTTAAAAAAGCAAATATTGAACTTTTACATTAGTAATAAAAATAAGGAAGAGATGGCATAAAGGGGAGGGGAAAAGGAATGGATGGTACTAGCAAGGTAAAGCGTGCAGAGCAAGTTACGACAAACTTCTGTGCTATTATTTTTTTTTAATTGTGAGTTTTGCCATGAGCTGGCATGAACAGTGTATATTACACAGTGGGAAGTCAGCCAAAATAAACACCAGCCTACAGTTGAGAAATATAGTCTGGAAAGGTTAGTCACAAAGTTGTAGTCATTTTTTAAAAAAGGAGGTTTTTGGATGCATCAGTCCAGAAACCCAGCAGTAAAGTCAGCTGGTAAATGGATATCCCGTTTCAAAGTGAATTGGCCACAGTGTGATTTATATCAAGCAAGCTGACTTGCATATGGGTTGGAAAAATAAAAACACTGATTCATTGCTATCTGGGTGGCTGTCAAAGCCCACGTCCTGACAAAAGCACATGTCCTGGGGGAAAGAGGTGACTTGGCAAACTGCAAAAGAATTTGGGGGCTCATAGAGCAACGTTGAGGGGTGATTAAAGATAGTTAACAAGAGAGTGACTATATGAACGTGAGTGTGCATCCCCATGTGCAGAGGGCCAGGGAAGGCAGGCAAAACGAAGCGAGGAAATGGAGGAATGGGGTGATATCTGGCCTTTAATTTTTAATATATTAATGAGATTTGTTTAGGCAAAAAGAAAAATTAAAAATCAACAACCTTGGACTTAGCTTACAGGATTAAATTAGTAATAGAGATTTCATATCAGTGGCAGTAAGTACTAAGCCCCATTACCACTGTAATCACACAATTTTAAGTAGCACTACAAAAAAAAAACAAAAGAAGAATTAGTATTTTTAGTTGAGACATTTGCCCCTGGTGAGAATTCAGAACAAATCTCTTCAATTCAGTGACAAATTCCTACTTTTCCTGCCACTGCAGAAGGAACCCAGCTAGGCACAACTGCGTTGGGTTTTACATCGGCAACCTTGTACGCGAGCAGCAGAACTGTTAATGAAAGCACACAGCTTAGCTTTCAAATTCCAGGCTGCGCGCACTGCTCTGGCAGTTACAGAAAGCAGGCCAGCTTCACCACTGCAATATTCCAGGTTTACAGCACTATTAATCTATTTTTCATTTCTAAGCAGCAATTTTTCTGCTTCTGGTGCCAAAGCCTTGGATACTCAAAGTTACCAGCTGTGACTCGCACATGAAAAAGAGCGAGAAGGTCAGTTTGTGAAGGGGCTTGGGTACCTCTTTGCCTTTTCACTCTGGGATCGCAAAGCTGTGGGGAACTACTGAAGTAAACGCAAGTTGCTGTCATTTCCTGGCAGTCTCTCTTACATAAAAACACGGTCTCTAAATCTTTGAAGGAGAATAAAAGACTGGGGGGGTGTCTCTAAAACTATTTTATATTGTCAGAGGAAGGTGTGAAACTGAGGAGTATCCACAGGATTTTAATGAAATGCTGCTGATTTTTATTTAAGCTCCACTGGAGCTTCTAAGGTACCCTGGGCCTTGGAGCTTTTGCTTTGCAAAATTCAAAACTTTAACAGCAGACTTGCAGTCCACATTTAGACCTCTAGTCCTGTAGGAACAAAGTGCTTTGCAAGACTAGAGTAGCATCAAGTGTCTTTCCTGAACAGCTTGATAGACTACTGGGTGAATTTCAAGCTACAGGGGTTTGGAACAATAATATTCACTCTTTTTGTAATGTAAAGATAATTCCAGGTCCAAGGAGAACTGAATTTTGACTCCCTTCTACATTTGTCTTTCAAGGAAGTCTCTCATCTTGTGCCTTTCAAGGAAGTCTCTCATCTTATATCTAAGACTCCTTTGACAGACCAACTTTAAACAAAAACAAGAATTCTTTATAAACGTATTTTGAATACAAAATATTTTTAGGGGGAGGGGAGAGACAGGAAGACAGAAGAGAAGTTTAGAAATCCAACTAGTCTGTCTTGTTTAAAGACAAAGTAACAGATATATGAATATGATAAACATGTCACAGAATACAAGATTAAACCAGAGGCAGCAACAGGCTTTTTGACATCATTATTAAAACCTGAGCAAGAAAAAAAAAACAAACCCAAACCTAAAACCCAACAGTATTTTGTTCCTAGTAATTAATTAGGTAACCTCTCGTAGCTAATCCTTGTAAAATGACTTCTGATGGTCTTAGGTAGGAAGTGATTTACTGGGACCAGCAACATAGTGAAGAGTCACCAATTTTTTTTTTTTTTTTTTTTTTTTTTAATGAAGGTAAAGTCTCAGATACTTGGTAGGTCTCCTGCTAAATTTCTATTTGAACTATTCTTAAAAAATCATCATCATTATCATAATCACTGTTTATTCCTATAATAATTGGAGAATCCAGCAGTTCAAGGATTCTCCCATTGATCTTTTGATGGTAGCCTTGAAACTTAGTATGAAGAGAGGAAGCTGAGGGTTGTTGGCATAAATGGCAGCCAGAGGAGATGCAGGCAGAATTATACTGGAAGCCATGGAGGTATCACAAGTATAAGGGAAATATGAGGAAGAGAAAGATGAAGAGACAGAAGACAGCACAAGACCCTGGACTCAAGGGACCTGGCCTTCCCATGGAAAACAAGCAGGAAGAACAAATTCCATCAAAATCAAAGCATCATTTCTCAGAACAGATCTTCCGCTGAAGGAATTTAGCGACCAGCAGACTTACTGAAGAAAGGTGAACCATGCATTAAAGAAACTTTCAAAAGCTCAAATGACAGGTATTTTTGCTAGTCAGCCTTCTCTCTGGATACATCTCCTCAAACCTTCACTTGATATTACATATCAAAATAACTAAGTCCAAAAAATATGAAATGGTAGTTGGGCAAATTCCATTTCCCAACTTTCTGTCTTTTCTGTTAAATTAATAGAGGCTTTTTTACTGTATCCTGTTCAATTTGCTCCACATGATGATTAGCTGAATAAAACTGCCTTTGGAAAGGTTTAGCATGTGTTTTATACACAAAAAACATGCAGTGAATCAGTAAAATAAATATACATGATTGCCTGGAATGCTTCTGCCAGTTCTGTAATACAGAGCTTGAGGGAATAAACTCTTCAAAGCACATCTTTACCTTAGAAGACATTAATAGAAACAACGAAGCTCAGGAAACCCCAAATTGCTCAATGCTTTTACTACACAGATCCAATTAATAACATTTTGGAAGGTTTGGTTTGTGTTGGTTTTGCTTTTAATATTGAGGTTTGACGCACAAATTGATCTTAAAATATTTCATTATGAATATTTCAAAATTACCACAGAAGAGTGCAATGAAAAGGCTACCATTTCTTGAGATATCTCTGCACACATTGTGTTTTCCCAGATGATACGATTGTTTTTTCTGACTCAAACATAGCAGCTACTGGAAAACTAGTGAGCTGTTTAACTTACTGAGGATTTATCAGGATAGACACCGGCTCGTAGCAGAGATGCCTTCCAGCTATCCACCTCCTCCTGGGAGTCGCAGGCTAGCTCAAGGAAACGGTAATCCTTGTAAACATTCCTAGAACAAAGAGCACCATATTGTAAAACTAGCATTTTACTACTCTGTATCATGCACACAGCATTTTAAATTAAAAATCCTTTGGGATCAGCAATTACTTGGTAATTGTTTTGGCCAACAGAGTTTATGGGACAGGTGCTTGTTTAATAATTACATGGAGTACTTAAAAATATCTTAGACTGCTACAGCACAGCTCTGGAAATAATAATCATCTGAAAGCACCGTGAAACTACTTAAAATCAATTTTCCAGCTTTTGCCAAAATGGAGCACTTTTAGGAAGAAAAGGCTGTTGTGATGCAGAGGACAAACATGTAAGACATGCCAACAAAACTGCATGTCTTGTGACTGCTGCTGTAAGCAATAAATATCAAAATAATTAACGATGCAACTTTTTCCCATGTTAAATCCTTTCAGTGCATTACATACCCTTTTTAGCTTTTAGACATCATCAGTAAAAGGGGAAAAAAAGCAATGACAATCAGATATTTTAAACAAACAAAACAAACTTCTGATGTCTGCCGTCGCAGTAAGAAAACCAGGATATGATTAAATAACACCTCTTGCAGGTAATTCATATAATTAGATAAATATAGGGAATCACCTAATGGAAGAAAAGAGAAAGGAGGAAAAATACATAATACGTAGGAAGGTGGTACTTGCAAATTCTCCAATAAACAGAACAGATTTTCCCCTTACGGTTTAGCCATTAGTTTCCAAATTCAAATTCTATGTACAGACCAGATCGCTGTAAATTTGTCAGCCAACAGCCTTTTTAGGAAAGGTGACAAGCTTAACTGACAAAGGTTAGGAAACCACATTCTGCTAGATCTTAACAGTTGCACAAGAATCAATCTTCCATCGCAACCAGACTGTTTCTTTCCTTAGCAAGCTACGGAGAAGGGAGAGTGGGGGTGGGGAGGGAGGTTGATGGAGATTATTTCACTTTCAAAGACAGCAATGACAAGGGGTCCTTTGGTTTCATCACGCAACTACAGAGGTCATTTCTGCCACATATTTTGAGGGGGAAAAAAATGAATACAATATAGAACCAGGAAATAAAGCTATTATCATCACTGCCTAGACAAATTTCTTCAGCATTCAGGGACTGGTGGGATTTCACCATCACACTGCCGGAATACAACCGACTTGATGAAATTCCCACTCACAGAAGTGCTTCTCACTTTCCAACAATGTCACCAGACAGCTCCTAGCCTTGCTTTTTAGGGGTAGTCTTAGGAAGCAGATAAAAAAAAGGCAGAAAAACTGTAATTGAACAGTAAGCGTTCATGCCCGAGCATGAAGCAGCCATGACGCCTAATCATTAAATTATCAGCCGTGAAACCACAGTATGGCAACCAGAGTATACCCACTTCTGAATAGAGGGAAATCAGGTATTTTTAGCAGGCTTATAGATTGCATTCAAAACTGCAAAGAATAAAGGACATACTCAGACTTCCTTATGTTAGTGACATAATTCTCACCAATTTCAGCGGCTACATCTGAGCAGCCAGGCAGGCGTGCTCAGCACCGGGCTTGCACTACTCCTCGAGCATCCGTATCGGAGATGCCACTGGAGTCTGCTTCAGTGCCGCTCAGGGCAGCACACCCCCATTTCCTTCCCAGAGAAACCAGCCCGCAAAGGGACAAAGAGACACTAAAAGGTCAAAGAGACACTAAAGGGTCAGATCCCACAGTTTAGGCAAAGCCACTGACAGTATGAATGATTGAAAGCTCTGTGGATTTTTTTATTGATTAGAAATGTAAAGTTAAACCTTTTTCTTCCCTGACTCCAAATGTATTAATCCTGCCTTAAGGCAAATAATAGCCTGGATGGTCTCCTCAGATGTCGTTCTCTTGAACTGATGACAAAACACTTGAATTTTATTCAATTTGCAATATTGTGGAACTCCAAGTTTTGTTCATTTACTGAACAAAACAAAGAACTCAATAAAAATAAAAAGAGAAGTAAAATGAAATTGTCAGAGAAAAAAATTTATTATTTAATTTATTGTTAGGAGAAACTTTATATGAGATTAGTTTTTTGGCTAAGTTCACTAAGCAGCTATAACTTTGAAGAAATAGGAAGCTGAAATGGTAAAAGGGTACTCTCAGAAAAGATGACTAAAAATAACAATAGAGCAAATAAAGGCTGTAAAACACAGCGATAGGGAAGTTCCAAAAACACTTATCTGCAAGAGCAAAACAACATGACACCAGCTTGTGAAAACATTTTTTCAGGACTGTCATGTTATATATTAAACTTTTTGGCATTTAGTGACTTGCTACATCAAGCGTAGCTGTAGGAAAAGGGATTTTAGCCAACTGCTTTGAACAGATGGGAGCTGGCAGTCCTGCATTCCTGTCTCTGTATCAAGACTTTTCCTAGGTCTAGGGACATCTTATGGCCAAGTGACTGACGTCTCCGGCTCTCTGAGGCCCCTCTCCCTATAGTATCTGAGAAGTCCACCATTTTAGTGTAGCTAATCTTACCCCCCCACCACCAGAAAGGAACACAGGTTTCAGCTTCACAGCATAAATGAGGAACTGAAGGACATAAACACTGAGCCAGAACTCATAGGAAGCTTACAGTAGGGTAGGTAAATGGATGCTTGCCTCCCAAATCAGCTTCCTTGCTACTAGACCTCCTTTGCCTTCCAGAAAGGCTGACAGGCACAGGAACTTCAAAAGAAAAAAAGCCAAAGTAACTTCTGAAAAGAGTGTGTCCTTTTTCTGTTACTAGTGGAATCTTACAAAAACACATTAACATGTTTTACCCATTAGGAATCCACTGGTGTTTCATGGAAAGCTCTAAAAGCGTTCTTGAAAACAATTCAGATTTTCTGTTTTGTTCTCTCTTCCACTTTTTAAAATTGCTGAAGATATCAGCACAGAAACAGTTACTACTCAGTCCTCACCTACCCACTCCATATGGAATACAGTGAGGTCATGTTCTCATTGTCATTTCTATAGCAGCTAAATGGGATGTTATACATCAAAGAGAATGATATAATACAGGATACCAAGAAGCAAAAAAGATGAACTCTCAATAGTACAAATCTTGTTTTCAGGCATCTTTAAATCTAAGGGACCGTAGAAACAAAACAGATACAATAAATGGGAACATGCCTAGAAGGACAATTTGTGTGCAAAATTTCCCTTGAATATTTAAAATTTTTTAAATGTGAACACACAAACAGGGAAGCTGTGTGCAAATACCACATCTACCTGTGCTGGTTCCTCCTGTAGAGTCTCATCATTGTGATTTAATATCCTGAATAGTACATGAAAACATAGCGGCATTACTGGAAAGTAACATAACACTACTTTTTTTCCCCAGAGTAAAAAATACAAAAGATTACCATTTGTTATCTGCAGGTTTTATTATACTCCAAATAAATAAACTAACTTCAAGAACTGCATTCCAGAAAACCACAATATGATTGCTTCTGGAGATGACCAGACAATTGGACTAAAAGTGTCGCTTCCGATTCCGGAATGGTTCCACACTCAGGACATAGCTTTTCTAGACCAGGCCCATTACTTGAAAGTCCAGCAGACATCTAGCTGTAAGTTTGCTTACCCAACAACTTCTTCACTTCACTATTATCTTTGTTCCAGCATACTGGATTCCTTTACCCCATATATTTCAGGGCCCAAAGTGAACTTTCTAATGCAGAAATTACGTTTACGTTGTCCATAGGTGTTTCATTAACCCCTCCCATCACAGAAGAATCCTAACATGAAAATGCAGGAATAGAGTAATGTATTTGAAAGCGTACAAGAGGAAACAGAGAAGTGCCAAATAAGTCTGAAGATTGAGCCCGGCTGTGAGTTACTGAGATTCCTGTCCCACTAGTCCTGAAGCCTGGGCTGTCAACATTGCATAGGGAAGGTTTGATTACCTATAAAACAGCAGAACTATACAATCCAGGACCGACAGGTGAATAACACACAACTGAAAATCACAAAGAACGAACTTTCTAGTTGCTTGCCACAGTGGAGGCAATACCAATAGGTTCCTCTTTACAGTGGCAGCACATAAAAACTGCTTGCCATCAGAGAAAACTCAACTGTTAGACCTCAAGATGTATAGTATCTCTTGCAATTTCTTAATACTAAGATAAGGTTGAAGATTTATCTCTAACAAACCTAGAAAGACTTAAGGGCAACCACTGTAGACACATTACAAACCCAGTTAATATGCATGCATATGTATTAATACATATCCACATATTAACCATGAGCATATATAGCTTTTAGACTGAGTTGGATGTGGAACATTTCAGTAGAAAAAGATGTACTGTATGTGCATGTGATTTTTTTTTTTATATATATATAGAAAATACAAACCAAGATTAAATGAAGATGCATTAACTCTTGCCAATATGGGAGGAGACAGAACAGCAATTACAGAGCAAGAATATTAGTGAAATTTTTAGAATTGTGCCTATAAGCCACTTTAGTCCTGCAAAGAACATAAAACCATATTTAACTTAAGCAGTTGCACTGAAACGAGTGAAGCTAGTCACAGACTGAAAGATAAATGAATATCTTCTTTTACAGAGATTTCAAACAACTGTGCTTATCATCCAAATGTTTGGGGTTTTTTGTAAACTTCTGGTCTTTTTATTAGGATGCAAGCAGAATTAAAATGAACATTAAAAATCTGGAACCAAATGCAAATCAGCCCAATTGTATTCCATGAAGAACACAAAAGATTCAATTCTTAGATATTTCTTATTTGATTGAAAATGGAATCATACAGAATATGGGTTTCATAAATAGTCACCTACAGTGAAAAAGGGAGAAAATAACAGAATCCAGATACTCCAAATATACATGCACAATTGGGAAAGATAATCTTGGATGAAACTCCGCTGTATGTTCTCTACTTATTCAACCTGCAACTCCACTGTACACATGCTGCTTATTCAACCTTAGTCTTAGTCTACCATTTTAGACACCTGTAGTTCCACAATGGGTGCTCTGAATATATGCA